GGATTGAGTAGTTGAAAGTTGTAACAGCAAGTTAAACAAATAAGTATGTTCCCCACTGTAAACAATAAGGAAGAGGCGGCTGAAATAACCCACACCACCTCTCGTGGGACTGTACTGTACACTCGATGAGTAAAGTGGTCACAAAGGACAGCATCCTAAAGTGCTGAATTTAAAACAAAAATCAGCCAATATTTGTTTTATTTTTCTTAAAAGATTCCTCTCTTTGTTGTGAATGAAAAGAGTCTGTTGTTAAAAGTATCAAACTGACACAGTTTGGTTTGATGAATGCAGACTAAATGTTAGCCTCAACATGTTTGCTTACTATATCACAAAGTGCTATCTGTACACAGGGCTAGAGATGGTAAAGTAGCTCATATAGAAAGATATTTTGTTGGTAAAGGCTGTTTGGCACACCAGGACAAATTAAACACTTCTGGGATAAAATGCCTCTTCTTATCTACACCAACGCCCCTGCCAGAGCACACACCCATTCAAAAGAGGAACAACATTAGATTTACTTTGACTTTTGGTTAGACATGGGTGTGTCAGACTAACGTTACTGCTAGCAAGTAAAGAAACTCAAGGCCAACAAATGTGACCACCTCTACCGCACTGCCTCAACGTCAGCTGTTTGCTAAACTACACATTTTATAGGTGTTACTGCACCAGACATCAAGAAGACAAGATCCAGTTTATCCAGGCCTCTTGTAAATATCAACAAAACGTACCATCACTGTAGTTATACTCCTACTGCACACTGTTTCTTTCTAAATCATAATAATAAAGTCACTTTTTGGATGATCAGAAACAGTATATTTATATATTCAGGTGCACGATAGCTGCTACAACATTAAAATTAATCAGCAACAACATAAAAGACACGTGTTTGTGACTACACATCAGACCTGTGTAGTTCACTTTTCTACTTTTCCATCACCTCTTTATAATCTGCCTTCTCTAACCTTCCCTCAATACACTTTCTGCCCTGTTGGGTGAAAACTTTTCCAACCATGAGAAACAGTGAGTGCCTTTCACAAAATTGATCTATTCAACCCTACATACAAAACCTTCCTGCTTTACTGCACACTCTAGCTTCCAAGTAACAACACTACACAATTAATATCAAAGGGAACACTATTCATGGAAACCACTTAACACTTTGGAGAACACTTTAGAAAACACCTAGAGAACAGAAAGACTCAGCAGATAAAATCACTGACAAACTATCTACAGATACACTCAAAACTTCACAAGATAAATGATAACAAGACCACTTCAATGCTTCTCTTCACAAGGAACGATAACGACAATTTGTCTGTTCTTGCCTGAAGTCTATCTAATTTTGCTCAAGTCTGTTACCAAGGGGCATCAGTCAATCATAAAGCCAACAAGAGAGCTTCACTTTTTCAAGAAATTACAAACCAAATTCACAGTTCATATGTCCAGTTTGTCCTTAATAATGAGTTAACAGATATCATTCGTGCCACTTTAGAAATTCATTTTGAGGACATTTTTTGGGAGAGGGAGACTGGCTCAGAAAGGCCAGCAGCACCTTTACTGCTCTTAATAAATCCTACGCCCGGCAGTAAACTGAATAATGTGTTAAGAGGATATTTAGTAATAAGATAAATTAAGAAAATGTTCTGTTTGTCTTAAACTTCATAATGCAGGGCCAATTCACAACTCATTTACTGCATGTGCTTATCAACAGACAGTATTTTAACCATTTTGTCTACATTTTCACAAGAATTTCAAAATTAAAGTAAAAGACAGATTCTGTATGAAGGTCAGTAGGAACGAGTTAAGTTGCTGCCCGACTCCTGCAGGCTGACCAGCAGGTCGTCGATCTTCTCCATGTTCTGAGGGGAGTTCATGCTGTTCTGCACCGGCCCGCTCTGAGACAGAGACTGGCAGAGCAGCGACTGGATGTGTGCGTCGCTCTCTCTCTGGTTCTGACCCGACTGGCTGATGGCGATGATCTGATCCGACAGCGTGTTCCCAGGAGTGTTCATCAGCTGGCCACATTCTGCAAGAAGGGAACACAATGAGTGTACAAACCTCACACTTATATTGTATGTTTGTAATGTAAGTTTATTGTTCAAAGTTTCTTTAAAGGTCCCCTATTATACTGTTTCATCAATATATTCCAGGTCTCAGATATGCACAAAACATGTCTCTGAAGAGTTTGGCTTGAAATACCGAACCGATCATGCATTGTAGCATCCCATAATCCCCTCTGTTCCAGCCCTGTTTCAAAAGTGTCTGTTACTTTAGATGAAAATAAGGAGCCACTCCCCACGCCCCTCTGAGAAACATTTGGTTAAAAAGAACACAATGGTGCTCTAGGAGGAGATTCAGGTGATAAGGGGG